CCCGATCCCGAATTTTTTTCCCTTCGGCTCGGCCGATAACGCCGATGCGAACGATTTGACCTATCGAGGAGGAAATGGACAAAAGAAATTCAACGAAATTCGGTGGCCTGTCCGCGAGCACATATCTCGACATACTTTGAGAAATAAGCGTCTTTCTCAGATCCCAATGAGAAAAAAGAACAATGATGAATCAATCGTTCTTTCGATTTCGATTTAAGAACCGGCGAAACGGGCCACCGATAGAGATGGACAAGCCGACGGAGAGAGCTTCCATCGAGTAAACCGACCTGTGTAACCGGATCCTTCATGATCAGGACATCGGTGACGGTACCGAACATGCCGAAGTACTCCCTGAGTTTCTCGCTACTGGTCTGCCAGGACAAGCCACCCACGAAGAGTTTGCCGGGTGCTGGGTCGCCGCCATTCGGTGTACTCCTCCCGGAGCTGCCGGAATGGCTACCGTTTATAGGCACCAGAGCATTGTGAAAGTCGTGCTCGATCGCACCGTTCGCCGCCTCCATGCCGGCGCTGAAACATATATCGATTTGTCATTGATTAGGCGTAATTGCTCGTTCATAATTAATCGACGAAATAACTTTTATTATATTATAATTTATTTATATTATATTATAACTTTTATTATATATAAACTTATGTATTTATTATATTATATTATAATTTTTATTATAATCGAAATAAATTGGAGTTCGAGCGTTTTATTTAAGGCAACGTAAGATTTTAATTCTAATTACCGTTCCTTGGATACCGTCCAATTAAATATCCATAATTTTATCGTCAATGTACTCTTTCTCTGATTACTCTCATTGTTCGAAAGGTATATATTATTTTCGATTTCGTATGCAAGAACCTCGTAATATGATTATTTTAAATAACTCATAAATTATTTTATGAAGAAATATTTCATACAAGCGTTGTAGAAAAGGTATAAGATATAATTTGATACATTTTTTTTGCAAGATATACAAAGATCAAATTTATCTTTTAAATGGAATCACATTATTTTTAATGAATTAATCGATAAAAAAAGAATATTGAGCCGCTTAATTTTAATTTTAATATTTTTCATAAAAATTTATGGATTATTTTGACATCAGAGGGAGATATTTAATTTATTCGTATGCTTGAGATACGAATAAACATTTTGCTATACTTTTATGGAAAGACAAAGATAAAGATGAATACGTTCAATTAATTATACTTTTCAAGCTTAAAAAGCTCTTGCCGAGTATCCTGAAATTTTTACGAAACTCATTTGATCTCGCAGACGATTAAATTTTGTTAACAATAGCGTGAAACGAATGAAAATCGTAAATGAAACTCGATACCACTGTGTAATTAACAACAAGTGAGATTTTAATTATTAGGGTAGAGCGAGTGGAAAAACGCTTTCCGTGCAAGTGGATTTTCATTGTACTCGCGGGCGAGGTTGCGACTGAGCTTTCGCATTTTCTTTTCACGGCTTGTGCTGTGCATCGCGCGGCATTACGTCAATTTACGTTTGAACATACTTCAAACGGGTTGGAATGTTTCAAATCAGACTTCCGCGCGTATTTTTGTTTGGCACGCGTTCTTTCGTCTGTGAAATTTTATTAGTTCATTATTTCAAAAAATCAAGATCGTAACAATGGTTAAAGATAGTAATTGGTTAAGTCACTCGTCATATACTAATTTTCAATTGATAATTTTTAATATATTATTCATTTTAATATAATATAATTTTATTACAGGGATATATAAAAGAATAATTTTGATAAAACCACGTTGACTTAATTAATTTTTTTTAGCTTATGCAGAGAGGGGAATAATATAATAAATTATTATAACTTATTTGAATATTAGAAAAAGTAATTTATTTATTAGCACGAAAAAAAATTGATTTAAGAGAATCAATTTTATCAATGTAAAATGAACGTTGTAGATGAGAATATTTTATAAAAATGTTTAATTATTATTTATATGTATTATTTATATTATTTCTTAACGATAATTAAATGAAAAATAAAAATGATTTATTTCTTGAAAAATTAATTTGAGAATATTTATTTTCGAGAACGACTTTATCTTCATTAAAAATCAAATGAGTTGCAACTATTATATTTTTATCTTTCGTTTTCAGATAATACCATTGCTGGTACTGGAAGCATGCGTGCTCTTAGCTATTCCTACCTTATGCTTTCATAGATTTTTTTTCACCAAAATTGAAATTCAGTAAGTTTAAGTTAATTACGTATATCGTAAATTAATTACATTCGAATCATCGAGTAATCATGAATTTTATTTGCGCAGGATACGCGGTCATCGTCGTTTCGAGATAACGTCTCCTCCAGGATTTTACGATCTACGAAATCCTCGAGTGCTCAAGGTAAGTGAAACCTTTGATCGATCTCTTTTGTGGATTGTAAATACCGGAAAATTAAGTATCGATTTCTGAAACGATAATAGACAAATTATCTCGAGGAAAAAATAATTTTCAACAAGTTTTTTTTTTATTTTCCTCCGGAAAAAATTAAATTCGATCGATAAGAAAGTGCGCGACATCTTTGTTTTACCAACGATCGATAAACAATTGGAATAGATAACGTAGTTTTCGCGTGGGAAAGATAAAATTCTTTGAAAATGCGATTGGTTTTAAAGTTTAAAAAGGGTGAATTGGATAATGTCATTGTTCTTTATTATATAATTATCATTAATTCGTCATTTTTATTAAATTACAAGTTTTAATCTGCGTCTACACTTGTTATGAATTTTTATACCATATCATTATAGTCGTGTAGCAGTATAAACGATAAACGTTGTTAACCATATATCAATATGGAAGTAAGCTGAAAATTATAATGGTGTAATCGATAGAAAATGGAATAGTGCTATAATTTCGCATTATTTTAAGTTACTTGGTATAAATTATCTCAACATATTAGTGAGAAATTAAAAAGACATAAAGAAAGCTATTTTTTTCTTTTTATTTTCTAAATATTAATTTAATAAATATGAATTTCTCAAAATATAAAATGATTCATGTTATTATAATTTAGTTCTCTTATCAAAAAAAATAATGCATCCAAATAATAAGGAAAGTCCACTAACCTGTAAATTCAAAAAATTATGAAACTTTGAGATCATATACAGAATATTAATAAATTCGTAAGAGACTTTTAAAAGATCGATTTTAGAGGCCAAAATGAACACAAAGTTATGCAAAAATATTGAAATTTTAAGTTATTTATTGAATAATTTGAGCTTGCAAGACAAAATTATAAAAAAGATAAATCGAAACAACTCTATCTTCGTTATATCATTTTGTCTTGGTTCATCCAATGAAAACTTCAATTGTACATCACTTAATAAGCCTCGATCGATATTTTTGTGTTTATGTTAGTCATTAGAACTTTTAGAAATGTTCGAATATATATATTGACATCTTATATAATATATAATTTTTTTTTTTTGCTATCTAAATTCACTTTACAAGAGTTGAATATTGATTTTGTTGAAAGTGAACGATGACGAAATTATGAAAACAAGATGGCGAAATTTGAACAATATGAAAAGATCTCTAACAGATTAAATTTATATTATATTGATTAGTTGTTTTTTAACTTTATTTCTTAATTTACAAAATCTATCAAAATCTAACGATTGTTTAAGCGATTAAATAATATTATAAATAAAGATAATAACAATTTTTTTTTCAAATCGAATTCTATACAATCTATACATTGATCGTTTAATAGTTTAAGATAATTTGAAAATCGTTTTAGTTGAATCAGTTGAAATGTTTGTTAAATATCAAATACCAAAAGAAGAGTAATACTAAAATTAAAACATAGAAAAATTTCTTTTTTTAATTGAAAATTACTTTCATCGTTGTTTGCGTACTGCGATTATCGAAGGACAACGAACTCATTTTCATTAATAACAATATTTCATTAATAACAATATACATTACAAAAAAAGAATTTAATCATTTTATAATCTTTTAATTTAACATTGATAAATTTTCTTTTTTAATTTCATAATTAAAAATTGAAACTGAAAGATAAACGAAAGATACCAATCCCCAAGCTTAATATTCAAGAAAATACGACATGCAAATACAATATAAGTAGAATAATTTTTAAATCCTTTTATTAAGTAATTAAATATATTGAATTCTTAAAATATTAACTTAAAATAAAACATTTATGTATTAATTTATCTTTACAAAAACTGATAAACAGCCTAATTCGAAGATTAATTTCAATAAATTTGAATATTACAAACAATATATATTTCCAATATTTTATAATTTTCTAAATCGAAGGGGTCGAAGATTTTTTCTCTCGACTGAAAATATCGCTCCCTCCGCTTTATTCCATCATTTCAACCACGCGTGGAATTGATATCCTCTTCGTCCATTAAAACGCATCCTTCATTCCGATATAAGATAAAATTATAAATCGTTGTACACATTCCATTATTGAATACTTAATCCCCTCCACATCAATCCATAACAATCCCATATTCCAAACTGACCTATCACTGCAATATCAATACCCTTGAAAAATCCTATAATAACTATAATAAAAATCCTATAATAATAAATTAAAATATTAATTATACCAATACACTTTATATTAATTTTACATTAATTTCAATCCGAAAAATTGAGATAAAAATCCGAGATAAAAAATTCGATCGATCGACGATCCACGACGATCGAACGAACCCCAGAAGAGAAAGAAGAGGAGGACACGACCCCTCTTTCTCCATCACAGAATTTCGCTTGGATAAAAGAGAAAGAGAGAGACGGACGAGGGGGGTGCAAAAGAGGCGTACGTTACTCCGATTCGGTTCTATCGCCGCGAGGGGGATACACAGTGGACGAAGAAGCGTGGCGCGACGGGGTGCAGAGGTCGAGGGAACGCGATGCGATGCGGCGCGGCGCGGTCTGGAGTAGAAGCGCTCCCCGGGGGTGGAAAGGAAGGAAGGAAGGAAGGAAGGAAGGAATGAAGGAAGAGAAGAAGAGACGCGTACGTACACCTGCAATCTTGCGAGGGGAGGAGGAAGAGGAGAGAGACTCGCGATGTTCGTGCGAAGGATCTAGGGATGGCTTCGATTCGACGAACGAATGATAAAGAACAACGATAAAAAATAACCGGGCTTATTCGTCCCGCGATAATAATTATAGAAATGGAATTTTAAAATAAATTAAATGTTGAAATAGAATTTTAAGGAGGAAGAGGAAGAAGAAGAAGAAGGAGAAAGGGGATGGAATTGGTTGGAAGGAAGCTGGGAGGTCGGGGCTGGAACGATGGGTTGGCGGTCGATGGCGGTCGCGAATGGATCGTTCCCGTCGCTGTGGAGGAACGAAGGATGGAAAGAGAGAGGGAAGGGAGGCGAGCCATTCGGGGCGAGGGAGTCGGCCAGTGGGGGACGACAGGATGGGCAGAGAGCGGGGGTGGAGGGTGAGAGAACGCGCAGCTGGTGGATCAATACTCCCCTTCGTACTTCTCTCTCTCTCTCTCTCT